AGGGCAATTCGCGAGAAAAAGGATGTTTGGATTTATAGAGAGGCGTAGGTGTGAAAGAAATTAGTAACAACCATGAAAACGAGGTGAAAATATCAAATTGTTGCCCAGCGATACCTATGACAGGGCTAAAATTTTTTTTTTTTTAATAAATCTTGAATGAAAAATGTACCAAAAAGTGGCTCTGGAGTAGTTGGAGTAAAAAAGTGAGCAAAGAAAAATCACGTCCCGTTGCTGGCATAGGATTAGTAAGAAAAACACGTGAAAGAAATGACAGAGGATTTTCATTCCGCCATCAGTAGCAGCAGTAGCAGAGTTTTGCGGATAAAGCTTGTGAAAAAAAAAAAATCCATTTAACCGAGTGGCGGTGGCAGCAACAAGCAGTGGCCTCGTCTACTCATAGTACCCCAACAGAATCCATACGGATACGTTCATTTGACGTGATGCAATATACTATAGACGCGGCGTTGCTGTAGCGTTAGGAAAATTGAGTTGCAGCTCCCCAGTGTGGTCTAATAAAATGTGAAACGAGAAATAGGGGGACGAGAGAGAAGGGAGATGGAAAAAAAAGAGACCGGCAGTGGCGAATACACGCCTTGATGAATCGAGAGACTGTGAGGGTATCGATCGGTGTGTGGGTGTCTGCGTTCGGACCGGCCGTATTCGTATGGTGAAATAACTCGGCGTCGAGAAAAATATTCGGATAATTTTATTAGAGGGGTTTTTTCGTTTTCGTCTCTATAGCCTACTTTGCAGAGATCAAATGGATGTTGAGCTTTTTTTTTGTTTCTTCTTTTCTAAAACCCCATATCGTTGGGGTGTCACAATGGAAAGTGTTAGTTATTTTCCATTGCGTTTTTCATTTGCGTGATTTTTGTTTTTACGAGTTGAAAAACACGTGATTTGTATCGAAAAATGGAAATCTGTACTCAACTCGTTCAACGATTTTTTAATAGAATTTTATTGAACGCGTCTCTGAAATTCAATAAATTTTTTTTTTTTTTTTTATCAAGTTTTATTAATCTGCACCCCATATAAATTTGAACGAAATTCATTGAAATTTATTTTTCCTATACTTAAATAATTCAGATCTGATTTTTCGTTACGGTACCAAGTTCGATTTTAATCAATAGCAAATGGTCAAAAAAAATTATTGTTAATATCATGTGAGAATGTTTCAACCTTCTTCCAAATTATTGTATTCATGATATCAAGCATCGATAAAGTCAAAATGGCCCGATGTGTAAAAACGAAATCTTTGATATCTTCAGAATGAATAAAAATAGTTTTGGGAAGCCTATGTATTTTTTTGCCAAGATAGATTTCTATTGTCGAACAGTCGAGTACAGCTAAAAATCGAACGCAGAATGATATGCTTCAAAAAGTGTGAGAAAGCCGCGTATAGTCAACGAGTTGGATATACCTATAAATACCTTGTGGAAAAGAGATGCATCAGTCCCGTTTTGCCGATTTCAAAGCAACCTTATGCCAAGTAGGCTAATCACGACGGCAATTATTTCCGAGAATTTAACCTTTGAAGCTCGAGTACTCAACGAAATGCATCGCTTTTCCGGCAAGACAATTATTTTTAACGCTCTCGTTCATTTTCTAAACACAAAAAAAAATAGAAACAATGCACGTGATGCAGTTCAAAGATTTAAAAAAAAAAAGTGGCACAATCATGCGAGTACTTACAGTTCCCGAGAAAACAAAAAGTCATCGATACGCACGGAAACAAATGCTAAATGCGAGCCAGCCAAGTAAGTGCGTTTATATTGCTCGAAGATGCAAACGAGACGGGAGGATCGGCCTGTATTATCTATGTAATGCACACTGCATCAGCCTCGTTTCCCGAGTGCCCGTCCAGCTCGCATATGCATATTATATATACACGTGTCCACGCACACAATGGCACACCCATGTATATAGTGACACTCGTGCGTGTCGTCGGAACATCAGTGCATACATGTATCCCTAAACTGTTGTTATCGGCAAGAAGTGGATATTTTTCATCTGGAACACGTGCGAGAAGTACAAGGAGTACTAGCTTGTAGATGAAGCAGCGCAGATTGCGATATTCCCTAAACATAGTCCCCCATGCCCTCTTATCACGAAAATTTATGTAACGCAAGCTCTCGAACCGACAAACTTTTTTTCTTTTAATACACACGTATATATATGCTGCGCGCAATCGAGTCGGTGGAAATCTTACTCGGTGTTGATTCTAGCGCATCGCCAAAGTCTCGTCGTAAAATAGTGGTCGAAAAAAAAAAAAAAAAAAAAACAAAGTGACCTTTTTTTTTTATTTCTTTTCAGCACGCTCGATCGAACGCTCCATACGTACACGGATATCTCTTGGGCGACTGCCGGTCATATATACCTATCGATAGCCCATACAAGTATGTCCTCGACGTTTTCCAGTCATGCATTTATTCAACCGGCAAAAAAAAAAATCTATCGTTAACGCAGTTCGGGCCGGGATACTATGCATGTGTGCCGGGAGGAAAAGAGTAATGTGGAGAGGGAAATCGGCACGGCCGAATACAAGAGCGAGCGCCCTGAATATACGCTCCGTGAATACATTTGAATATATTGTTGAATACATTTTACTGTTGCGTGACCCTCCCCTTACCCCTCCGCAAACACCGACTGTATACGTATAATTGAAATCTATTACACTCGGAAGTAAACACTGCAGTCACCTTTTCCTATCTATTTCTATACTATGTTTTTTTTTTGTTTTTTTTCGACTTTTCAATGCCGCATATCGATTTTATTATTATGTATGTAAGGGCAACTACGCGCTCGGCGATCCACGAAACTTTTTTTTTTTTTTTCACAAACCGCGGAGGTAAGAGTCGATCAAAGGCTCAAGAAAATGCCTTTCGGATAATACAAAATCCGGGGAATCCCCGCCTATTTGAATAACGGCGTGTTAACGGTTAATTCGCGTTCGATACACAGCCATAAGCATTTTTCGTAACTCAATTTTTATTTTTTTTTTTACGCGATCGCGTTATCCCTGTTTGTTTCTGTTGTTTATGTTAAAGCCGCCTGGTAAGATTATACGTTATAAATAAAGTGGTTTTATTTTACGATTATCCACACCGCGTGTAACGATATCGCACGTTGGTACGGCCGATCGGAGCTCTCGGCTGCGCAAATAAATTCGACCCCGTATTATGTCTGCGGAGAGTATTGCTCGACGGGAAGCGATTTGTTGTATCGAAACAGTCTGTTGCGTTACGCGCTTTGTTTCCGGTGCGGATTAATTTATTCATTCCCCTTTTGTTGTCCACGTGTATCGGAACAACGCCCAACTGTGCAATTGACGGAAACCTGTTTAATCAAAGCAACGGTAATGGCACTTAAAGGCCGTCATTAATTATCGCAAGAGCTAATTTAAATGTTGGGGATTGTCTCGATGGAAGGTGCTGAAAAGGTCGCGCGGTTTACGAGAGAGAGAGAGAGACGAGTAGGCATCATTGCGTTCTATATGTACTCATTTTTTAAATAGCGTCTAGCACGTGAATGAACCTCCGTGCTTGGAAAAGGAGATAGTGAAAGTGCTGCGTTTGCGGCACAGGCGCGATGTTTTTAACCGCGGTTGCGCTGGAAAAATGAATTTAAAAAGCAAAAACGTTAACGAGGGAATTCAAAACAATGTGTAGACAAGAGCGAAAACAGATGCGTTACACCTTTTTTTATTTTGTTTTCAAAACGTAAACAGAATAAACATGCATTTATATATTATCCTTCTGTAAATATATATATGTATATACATATAGTTTTTAAATAATGCCAACAGATGAGAAACTGTACTGTAAAATCCTTTTGTCAATGTTAAATGTGTTTAAGCATGAAATTTAAATTGTTTTATATTCTGTTTGCGCTTATTAATTACAAACAAATTCAGTGCTTATGCGTTTTAGGTGTTTCGAGAACAAAATTGTAAAATTAATTTCACCAGCATTTGCACGTCGAGCATAGCTTTTATTATTATTATTATTACCGTTACCTTTTTTACATATATATTTATAGTTCTAATGGTTTCTTTAACACTTTGAGTTTGTTACATTGGATATTACGTTTGACAAGAATGATGTAAGGAAATTTTTTTTTTTTTTGTTGTTGTTGCAATTTTTCGTTAAATAACGACATGTTGGTCGGATGCAAGCTCGTCGTGCAATAAGCACGTAGATTTGAGACTAATTAGTCGACATTACTTGAATTTCAGTGTAGACTTTGCATACCTTACGCGCAATCACGAATTTAGCTCTTATTTGCAACTTACGACGTTATATCCTGTTTGTTACATTTTTTTTTTTTACTTCTGTTTGTTGATTGTTTATTACATAGCAAAGTAGTTTTTAAAGAGCAATTTTTCTTTTTTTTTTTTTTTTCAATGTTTATTAGACAGCAGCATATATTACCCAAAATGCTAGCGTGACTGGGCGTAAATTGTGCATCGTATTTATAACCCCGGCAAGATTCACACACGTCGTATTGTGTGTTACCTTTGAATTTCATTGATCTAGTTTTCGGATTCATTAATTATTTATAAATTCATTCGAATTTATTATTTGCAAACTAATAAGATTATTTTGTAAGATGATTTTGACGGAAAGCGTTTTCCAATAAATATACCTTCAATTTGTTCGAGTACTCGCGTGTGAATCTTGGATCATCTACTAACACTAAAAAAAAAAGTCGCGAGGGCAAGTTCTACAATCGACTTTGTTTGTTTGTTTTTTCAACTCTACAGGTTAACAATGCTACCGCACGAGTCCAGACAAAGAAACCACCAACAGTACCCAACGGTAAGTCCCTCTTCAGTATCGTCCAAAGAATTTTTCCAAACTGCAATTACTCCACGAGAAAAGATAACGAAAGCCGAGGAAACCCAGAAAAGAGATACCCAGCCGCGAGTGGTATCCTCAAAATATTTCGGACGCTCGAGATAACGCGAGGGAAAATTGATCGAGTGGTCGCGTGCCACTGGGCCATTGGATTCTCCGTTCCCCACTCGAGTGAGAAACGTGTTCCAAGGAGTACTAGCCGGGCAGTGAATTATTCCGAGACTGACCCTGTGTGTCCCAACCGTATACGCTCGTATCGTCGTAGTTGTCGTCGCCGACGTCTCTTGTCCAAAGTAAATCAGTTCACGGCTAGCGTGTAGTCCTCCTCGCTGGAAAAACCAATACGCTTGCACGTGATGGGCCAGCAACTGGGCTCCACCGTTGTTCTTGGCTGAAATTTTGTATTTTTGATGCACAGCTATTATCAACATTATTCATGAAACACCCGCGTTACTACTGTACCGATAACAACGGATACTTCTCTCTCTTCTTGGCGCCGGGTGGAGTAAATATTATGCACCGGCTTTTTTTTTCGTTAAACGGTCTTGTAGGTATCGACGCGATTAATTTCTTTTCGCTCGCTTTCGGTGGATCGAGTTGAAATCTAAAAAAAAAAAAAAAGAGAAAAATAAGTACACTTTTAAGAACTATAAATTTCCGCGTATTTTCTTTCTTTCGTCTTTATGCACAAACTTTTTTCTCTTTCGTTCATCCCTTTAACATTTTCTGTTGCAAGATGCGTTAAAATAACAAACATCGTTTCTGTTTTCTGTTTCAGTGTGCGTCCAGTGGCCTGAGGGTACGTGTACGATGCTTATAGAGCATTGTGACTATTTACTCAAAAGTTAGAAACAATCACGAGATCTTATAAAAAAAGGTGTTCCAAGGCCAAACGATACGGTACCTTTGCCCTTTAGATTTTTCTTTGTTTTATTTCACTTTTTTTTTTCCAAAAACTTTTTTACTAATAATTATTATATTACTAAACTATGCGCGAAAAAATCGCAAGATGCGCCAATGTGTATTTTTCCATGGCAACTCTCCACATCCATTGCAACATAACCAAGCCAAGTAGACAAAAGTTCTATTTCTTACTTAGGAACTGATTAGTCGGATAAAAATATTAGTCTTACATTTGTTGTTAAATTCATGACGAGAACGACTGATGCTGTTGCTAAGTTTCGTAAAACATTTCAAGGCATCGATGTAGCCACCTTATGAGGGGGGTATCGTAGGCTTTGACAGTAAGCCTTATTAGCTAAGATAACAGATTCACGAGTACGTATATATGTGCTTCGAGACTTACGGCAAAGTAAGGCAAAGCCCCTCGAAATGTGCCAAGCCGTCTTTTCTCTGGCAGAGAAAGCGAAGCTTTGAAGCTTTTCGAGGATCTTTGCATTTCCACTTAGCCGTGCCATCCTTTTGCCTAATGCTGAGGCTGTGATGTGTATATAATATCATCGCCATCCGTAACTCGTTTCAATTTTAATAAGTTTATTTCAACGCTGCACTTTCTTCACTACAAAGGTGGGTCATTTTTGCCAGCTTTTATTTTTCCTTTACATCATCACCAATTCCACGCGATTTTTCACATAAACGAGAATCATTAAAATAACATTAGCTCGATGACAAAATCATAAAATCGAGATTCGGGTGGTTATACATCAGCAACATAATACGTTATCTCATGAAAATACTCGAATTTTAAGGTACCAGTGCTGTGAGTAAAAAGGCTTGAACGTAAAATGCAATTGTACTTGAATGGCTTTAAAAAATCATAAGGATTTTGGACAGATTTATCGGAACCATTTCATTTGATTACGATAATAATAATAATAATAATAATAATAATAATAAAAAACACAAGTTATACTCGATACGTTTAAACATAATTCAGAGCGAGCGAAAACAAAAGACGTCGTTAGTCTAGAGCCAAAAAATTAAATCGCGATAAATTTTAAAACTCTCGCTGCATCGAATCTGTGCTTTTCCGTGCTAAAGTTCTTCAAGCTTTCTAGAAAACACGTTCGGTTGAGTGGTTGATTTCATTTTGCTTTGCGGTCAGCGAACAGAATCGGCCAATCGGATCAATGTGCTTTGACGCCGCTGCTGGTGGACACCTTACTCGCAACAGCGCAGATACGATGTAGTTATAAATTTTCATATTAAAATCTGTCTTCGTGGAAAAATTATTTTGATAAAGAAATTTGTTCCGCATTTACACGTCCTAAAACTTATGACAAAAAAATAAGTTACCCGACAGTCATAATAAACGTTACTCATAGGATACAGGAACATACATTTTTTTGTTTCATCACATCAACAGTAGAAATGAAAAAGAAATTCACGCATGATTTGTTTGCGTTCCATTTGTCATTTGTAGATACATGCACACATAAGTATAGTCTAGTACAAACTTGTAGACGATTTTTTCTGTTGATTAACCAATTTTGAAATCTGTTAACGAAAAAAATATCAAATGAAGTTCATCATTGAGGGCTTTGGGGTGTCGGCGAACAAGTATAGAAAAGTTTTTTATTATAAATTTAATTTGCACATGATCTTAGAACTAACCAAATGAATGATATTTATTGTTGCTTATTTGTCAAAAAACGATCATTGATACAGCAAATGTTTTAGAAATTATCAACTCCAACTGTATATTGTGCATCATCATGTATACATTATTGTTCATCGCTATTGATTTAATTGCTTCTTATTTACTGAGCCAATCCTCATACAGTGACAATTAATTAATATCCGATGTGACTTGTTACATGTTAGAATGAATCACATAGCTAACGTGACATGATAACTTATAAATGTGTCGTAGAATAACTATTCCTGGAATAAATCGCTGCATCTTAAATATAGTTTGATGAATAAGCGAAATCCAAATGGTAACTCATTTGTACACGCTAAAATACCTTAGGCTTATTTGATGCACCTTAATAAAGTACATGTCCTACCTATACCTATTTATATAATATTTCGTGTATGCGTTTTTAGACTGTACCTGTACATGAGTACACGGTATATATACATATACATAATACTAAGCATCTACTGATATTTATAACTGTCATTTTGCAAAAGGCCTGTACCGTTGCCTGTGGTTGTGCTTGGTTGTGGTTGGAGCGGTTTTGGAGGAGAAATCTTTTATTTTATTATTTTTTTTTTTTTTATGGCTTTTTTAATATTATTACCTATTTTTTAATTTGCACGTCTCATATCGTGGCCTTGGCTTGCCTTCACATAAGATATTACGTTAAGAGAGTCCGTATGCCTGTGTGGAAATATAACTCTTTGATCTTTTGATTTTGATTGTGCGAGTGCGCGCGATGATTCTCTTTCTCTCCTCACTGTGCGTGCACGTGTATGGAAAGACGTTCATACACTCACACGCTCAATTATTAAATGCTTCAACAGCATTCATTCGTTTGTAATTTATCATAATATTTTATTGGTCCGTCGTGGCTCTACTAGCAACTTTCTCTAATCACCTTATTTTTTCTATTTCAATATTTTATTCAGATTGACGTTTCCGATACCCTAGTTTTATCCAACTCGGAATGCTAGAAATAAGTGATCTTTTTTGCAAATGTTGAATAAACACGCATGGAAAGTAGTACTTTGAAAAGTGTAAATAGCTTATTAAAGCTACCGCTAATTTTTATACATGTTACGACTAAAAAAAAAAAAAAAACGCTTCATTTGGAAAATTGTTTGATGGAAAAAGAGAAAAGTAATGTGCTGCCAAGTAGCCGCCACGAATTTGTGTAATTTGTACTTTTTTTGATAGAAAATGTTGATTATCACTGATAAATGTTTAATAATCATGGCACGGTGTGTTAGTTAGCAAAAATGTGGCCAAGCGAGGTTGCTGCATGCTCAAAATATTAACTGATTTGTTTACCGAGTCTTGAACGTCATCGATCACCATACCTTTCGTACGTCATTGTGTAAAATACAACTAAAAATACTTATTTACTTGAACCGGCAGAATCGTAGCTAACTTTACGATTACCTTTCCTATACATAACCCAAACCATTTTGTCTGTTAATGGTGGCTTTTTTTCCCCACTTTGGTATGTTTTTTGTCAAAGCTTTAGATGAACTGTGTAGAAGAAGAATCACAACAATTGTTATCGTGTTGAGACTCCACTCTTAGTACACTAGTAAAAAAATTGCAAATACCATAGTTTTGAAAAATTTTGTATTTTCTTTTGTGCTGTGCAATGCAGAGTTTAATGTTTCAACAAATTTAAACACATTAGTTATTTGTTTTTTTTATTAATTTACTATACAAAAAAAAAAAATCCTTGTACTAAACGGAAACCCTCATGATTGAGTAATTTTGTAATCAAGTAGATTCATTTACGATATAGTTTAAAATTTAGTTTAGAATCTTATATTAAAATTTTTTTTCAATTACTTATTAACCGTAATAAATTTCTTTCTCGAAGAAGTATAAATTTTGCTAAAAGATTGTAGACACATGTGTACACGTGGGCTAACACGCACACAACACAGGCACATTCACACGCATATCTATACACTGACATTCACATACGAAGGTATACAAAAATATAATTACGAAACTTGTACCTAAGAGTTGCAATTCTTCTTAATGCCAGATGTTACAATATATCATTTAATACAACATGTCAGCTCGTTGATGGATTGCACAAAATATTTTCACGTTTTAGCTTTAAAATTCTTGAGTTTAGAGTAAAATAAATTTTAAGTCATTATTATTTGTTGACAATTACATTTGATGCATTTCAGTGTAAATTTTTTTTTTTTCTTCGAATGCGAAAGCTCTTTCTTTTTTTTGTACACGCGGTAAAAAAATTATGGTTTTCAATAACTCGAATGACTTTTTCAAAATGTTGAAAAAAATTTATTTCATCTTAAAACTTTTGCCAAGTCTTTGCACATATTAAGCAGTTAGGGTAAAAATTTGTGGAATGGAAAAAGTCTCCTTTAGAACTTTTCTTTTCGTTTATACATAGTGTTCTTTGTTTAACAAATGTATTATTAAATTTTACATTTTTTTTTTTTCGCTTCAGAGTTTAAAACTATTAACATTTTACTATTTTATTCCATGCATCCTGCCATTCTTATAACTTGTAATATTTCCTATACGGCTTTAGCTTCCCATTGATAAATAATAATCTTCTGCATAAGGTCAAACATTTTTTTGAGAGCAACATCATGCGATCTTTTTTATTTCAACACTGACGGATAAAAAAAATTTCTTGTACTGCTATACAGGGATTTGTGTTAATCTGGTACCTCAAACAAAAAGAAATAGAATATTTAAGAAAACTCGCATACGAAAAAGTTAAGTAATAGGTACTCAGTTATTAAGCCCTTTTGGGGGCATACTTGAAAAATAAATGAGCATTCAGAGTTTGCAGCGAACCTCGTCCAAGCCATCATTGAGCGATAAACCATGTCCGTGTCCGCGATAAAAGCGTAATGTTGTAAAAAAAATTTGTAATCAACATAAAAAAACAAAAAAAAAGTAAGAAAGTTGCCAGTATGGTCGCACCGAGAAAAGAGTGGATCGAGAACCGAGCCCGTGCCTATACATTATATATATGTATATACCATCACGCTTGCGGTCCAGCGTGCAGACCAAATGTAACCATGTATACATACATGTTTCTTTTACTTCTTTTTTTTTTTTTTTCTTTTTATTTTCTGTATCTCTCTTTCTCCCTGATGCCGTTGCGAAAAAAAAAAAAAAAAAAAAAAAAAACAGGATACAGGTTACCGGCGATGCCCTGGAGCTGGCTAGGCACAGCAACCCCCTCGGCTGCAGCAGCAGCAGCAGTCGCAGCGGCCTCGGTCACCCCGTCGCCCGCCACCACGCCGCTCGTACTCGCGCCCAGAGCTGCGACGAGACGGAGGTATAGATTCTCTCTCGCTCTCACTCCTCTCTCTCCCCCCCATCTCATCTTGTCCTTTTCCTCCTTGCCATACCTAAACCTTCATCTCATCGGTTCGAGCGCGCCTGCGCCCGACTATGCGTAGAAAATCCTGGCCAACACCGTTTTACACGAACACACTTGTACCTATGATGTCATGAGGCTTGGTAAAAATCCAATGACAATCATCTTACATAATATATAGCTTTGTCCACAACGTTTCATATATATTATATACACGTACATTTTTCATCAAAGACTCTGTATGGCAGTCGCAGTATCTGTACACTCACGCACCAACTGATGGCTGTGTGTATTTTTTTCCTTCCATCTCTACACATATAGAGTTAGTCTGTCCCCCTTTCTTTTTCCACCTCATCCGGCTGTACCTTACACATACTTGATCGTAATGGACAATTAGTTGGTAATAATTATATCCTCCATTGTACCTGTGTATTGTACCACCGCTGCGTTTTTGTGTGTTCTTTCATGCTGTTTAATTTTTAACCACCACATTCTTCCTGTATATCATTCAATAGAGACACTATATAATATAGTTCTTACACGAGTATGTATTATACCTGTACAAGGCATGAGTCTTACGGCACCGAAAATTTTCCTCTTACCGGTTATCAGTGTGTACTACTAATATTACATTATCAATTACTTACGTATTGCAGCCTAACAACTCTTGCAATTATCTTATGTTGATTTTTTTTTTTTTTTTTTTTCGCATCTGTATCATGTTTCCTTGTATTACATTAACCAAGCTTTTCTAACGAATCAGTTTCGATGCACTGTAAATTAATACTCGTCTTCTCAAAGAATAAGTGCCAACTGAGTATCGAAATCAGCAATATCAACGAAAGTACCCGTAAGTTTTCAATTTTATACTTTATTCTATAATTGTACTCTATTTTTTTTGTCGCTTTAGCAATTTTTTATTCAATAGGTAGCAGTTGTCATCTTGAATTTCATTATAACGTAGTTCATAGTTTTTCGATCACCATATTACATGTACACGTTGATAAAATTTTTTATTTCCACGTTGAAAATAATCACACAGCATGATTTTTAAATCGTAGTTTGTTCAAAGTCGATATGAGAAAGATAAATAGGTGAAATTTATAGACCATGCATATAAGTGTGGATCTTTGAAAAGTTGTTTCAACACTTTTGTACGCGCAATATGGATTATTTATTGAACCGGGCAGCCGTACGCGTCGTTTGGACGGTAAAGGATTCGTCATCATCCCGCGGAAGGTGTATTTTGAAAAACCATTGTTGCAATCAAAGTACCAAGGCATTTTCATCATATCTTTTCGTCAGCTCCTGACCGGAACGACTCGACATTGCCTACGAAAACCGTGCACACCCGGAACATTCTTCTCCGCTTCCACATTAGAAATTTCCAAGCCAAAATCAATAAAATCTCGGTGGAAAAGCCCCATCCTACACACACACTCGGCACAGGCCGCTGCGTTCTATGTCTTTTCTCGGCGTCGACACCTGGTAGCCCGCAATTTCGCTTCCATGCGGAGGGGAAAAACAAAAATCAACCCACCACCCACTTGACTCGGGGGAGGGAGGGAAATCTTCTCACTTGTTTTCACTTTCCGTCAAGTCAACCGTCCAGATGTGGCCGCAATATAACACACAACTTGGTACAACTTCTCATTACCGCCCCCTCCCCGCGCGCTCACGTGTGATTTTTCCAACCTCGCAGCCGTTCTCTCTAATCAAAATAAACTTTCTCTCCCCGGGCGCACACACACACACACACACATTGCACGAGAGAGAAACAACGCCAATCTTACCCGTAACTTTGAGCTGGATTAGTCGCTGTAGATATGAATCATAGACCAGTGTGTGCGTGTGACAATCATTTCTGTGCACTAATCCGAGAGAGAAAAAGAAGAAAAAGGGGGGTGGGGAGCACGGGTGGCTGGTGCGTGCGCGACGTCGATATGGAGCGAGAAAGAAAGGAAACGAACCACTGCGAGTGCTGGTGGTGCTGTGCCGATACGACGAGAAGAGAGGAGAATCCGAGTAGTGTGCGAATGTTGTCCGTATGGGTGAAAAATGTATCTCCCCGCGAGCGGAGATGAAAGGGGGGGGGGAAAGAAAAATAGTATTCCGAGTGGTACGAATGCAATAAAAAAAAAAAGGTAGGCCGTTTATTTGGCATGATGCACCCGTAATGTTCCAGCAGCTGCGGCCCTACGCGGAGTCGCCATACAGAGGAGCAGGGTGGGCGCGGCGGCGGCGGCGGCAGCTCGCGCGGCCGCTTTTCCAGCCAGCGCGGCTTTAGCGCTCGCCCGTAACCCGAACTCCATAGCCGCGGCCGCCGCCGCTACGGCTCTTCATCCCTTCGCACAGGCAGCGTAAGTATACACGTACACACATCATGATTTACTGTACGCGCTTACCTTACACCTCCACCCATACATTACAATTGTTTATGCGTACTTGTGTGCCTACATCGAGTAAGTACCACAAACGAGGATCTTACATATACATGTATGTGATTGGCTTTGTCGATCAAGGATTCAGTACTTATGTATACGGAGACGATGACGACAAATGTACGTGATCTTCGGTACTTCGGTATACTTGTTTCACCATCCGGAGAATCAAGAGGGCACGTGCAGTGCGGGCGCGTTTGTCATTTGATATACTCCGGCTACGGATACTGCACGTACTTGTACATGCATTCTCTTTTTCTATCGCTTTGTTTTTCACACCACCTTCTCTGTACCTCGCCCCCAACTGACTTTTTTTTTTTTTTTTTTTTTTTTTTTTTTGTGCTCTTGAGCTGCTTTGGTCGATTTACGCGGTGTTTTATACATTAACACACCGTTTTTATAGCACTTACACGACTGTTGTGGCTTTTTTTTTTACCTTTTTGCTTTTCCTTTCGATAATGGTTTTAACGTAGTTGATAGTACTTATACAATCAGTAGCCACACGTATACATTTGTACATATGGATACTGCAGTGTATCTTTTTTTTTAGTCTATTTTAATTCTTGTAATACCTTGTTTACCTTGCATCATCACTCTCGCTATCGCCACACTGCACTCTCATCAAAATTGTACATCACTTTAATTCCAAGCCACTGAATTATTTTACTGTCACGACATGATTGTGTAAAAAAATTTCATCAATTTAAGAACACACACACACAACGGCCATAGTCATAAGCCTTAGATGTCATCGAGGAATTACGTGTGTACCTATTTCAACGAAATAATTTCAATATATACTTTAATTTTTTTTTAATTTTTTTTAATTTTTTTTTATCAATACGTTACATCCAGTCATAAAGTGAAAATAAACCAAGACAGGTACTTGATTAACGCAACCCTTGAGTACGGTACTTTGAAAAAATGTTACGTTTCTAGGGAGTTCGTTTTTTTCTTTTTAATTTTTATTTGAAAAAAAAAAAAAAAAAAAAAAAAAAATTGATCTGATTCGTTGAAAATACTTGATAGAAAATTATAAAATTGTATACAGTTTGTTACACTCTTCATAAGTTCTACGTATAGGAAATATTATAAAAAAAAAAACAGATATTCAATTAAGCTTTCGTCGAATAGCAAAACTTGAATTGATATTGCATTGTGCAAAGCTACGAAAATTTCATGCGAACCGATTAACTGTTGGCTCGGCTAATTTTTAAAAAGAAGAAAAAATAATTAAAATTCCGTCTCTATTTACAATAAATACATGTCGTATTATAAATATTCAACAAAGTTTTCTACGCCAGCAAGACAGCTATAATCCGAAACACGTGGGAAACTAATACTCGAGTTAAAGGTCGCGCGTCACCACGCGTTGCATACATATATATATATATATATATATATATAGATTACATTAACACATTGTCCATCCAAAAATAATACAATTCAACGTAAAAACGAACGCCCAATATTATAATGCGCGCAATAGGATTATCATCCTCGGAAAGATCTTCCAGATATCGGCCTTATCGCGAGGTGTGGCGCCAACGACAACAGTGTTTTCCCAATAATTATTATTTTTTTTTTTTTCAATCATTTATTTTTCAGCGTCTACTACGATCCCTTCCTAGCGGCACACGCAGCGTCACAAGATCCTAGATTACAGGTAAGATTCGACAAACACACACTTGGTATATTACATACAATATCTATTGTTGGTTGAGCCGCACAATTTTTTTTTAATCCTCGCGACAATATCCGTGGGTAATCCAATGATAAATTGTTACGTAAACTCTGTTGTGTATTTATACTTGTAGTGCTCAACAACAATCATGCAAATATAGAAATGAAGTTTTTTTTTTTTTTTTTTTTCTCCAGACACGTGTTCACGTGTGTAGTGTATGGGTACCGATTATCACCCACGCGAGCGTGCGTATCCGTGAAATTCGTGACGATATAATAACCAGTAGATGTAACAACAAAAACAACAGCAATAATCAAATAACCAGTGATGAAGAGGTAATCTTATCGAAAATATATCTACGGGCGATCGGCGAGTAGTATCTGCTTCCGCGTGTGTATATACGGAGGATCGAATCGAACGACGCCCACGCGTATCACACGATACATCTACACACACGTATACATATGTATATTGTTATCAAAAGCGTATACGTGACGTAAAATTGATTGTGTTCCAGGCAGCGGCAGCGGCGGCGGCGGCCTCGCCCCTCCTAAAGACACCGCTCTCGACGGCCCAGCAGGCGAGTTACGCGGCCGCGGCAACCTACACGGCCGTGGCGGCGCGCGCCTACGGAGCAGCGGCAGCCGCGGCCCAGCCAGTCGCCGGATATGCAGCAGTAGCCGGGTAAATAATCGTTAAATCGACCATCCATCCTGTACATGTATACACACCTATACAACGCGCCTATCTCGACTTTACTTTCTCTCTCTCTCTCTCTCTCTCTCTCTCTCTCTCCCACACTTGAATATGTATATATATATTTATTTATACGCACGTAAGTATATATCTACACCCGACTCGCACCGTTTGTTTTCTGTCTCGCGATTTTTCACGCGCCACCCCCTCCCCCCTCCCACTTGTAACACCCACTCAATGTTATTTTTATCTTTTGTTTCGTTTGCCCATCTCGGATTCAATTGTGCATTACATAATATCTACTTAATCGTCAACCTGCGAGGATGCGGTACTCTTATGAATTGAGATGTCGATATACACTATAGATATAAATATATACTTGACTTTTATTTGTGATGTTTGTTTTGTGTTCGGTGCGTTGATCTCCCGAAGGTGGCTTACGCGTTATAGAAGTAAGCTCGCGTGATGATGGACGAGCTTGAACGAGAGTGCATTGGCATGTATGCACTGTATGTGCGTGTTGTATACCCTCCGTGTATACGCGATGCTGTATATATTCATTGGCCGTGAGCTTGCACGCGTTTCTCCTCTTTGCAGCAGTGCCTATAAGTATACGTATTGCAAAAGAAAATTGTTGTAAAAGCCTCGAACAGCTTTGAAGTGGCTCAATTTGTAAGCTCGTCGAGTTTGTTAAAAAAAACAATTTTTTTTTTTCCAAAGTCACACAGGATTTATCGCGCGTTACACTAAAATGAAATTAAAAAAAAAAAAATCTTCAACTCATATTTTACCACTTTTTACCTTTGGCACTTTAATTTTGTGTACAACATGTATTGTATTTCCGCTGTGTATAAACATTAAAAAAAAATCATGATAACAGAGGGGAAACGCAAAATGTAGGCAGGACCTCATTTGAGCAACGAAAATAGTACCGCCAAACCGTGTGTCGTTATTCGGCTGGGTTTTCATGCAAAGTTAATTGAGCCCGATGGAGTCGGTTCTCGAGCTGGGAAAAAGAAAAAACGAAAGAATAGGGTAACAATGCCGCGGGAGTCGCGAAAAAATAATTGTTCCTCCGCGTGGCCTCTCCTCGTTAAATCAAAGGCAAATCCGGGCACAAAAGCTCCAGCAGAGCCCCCCCCCCCCGAGCGACTACCACTTTTGCCATGTATGCATAGGCAAGTTTATACATGCATACAACACGACGACGGCAGTTGAACGGTTTTTTCTTCTGGATTCATTATTAGCTCGTTAAGGTAGCTGGATTCGCGCGAACGGGCCTCATTCGTCTCGTTACACCTATACGTGTGTATATGTACCCACACTCGGTCGACAAGGCACTAAAATTGCATACACGGTGTGCAGGTCAGGTGTTCGTACGTGACTGCTTCTGGGCCTTTTTTTTTGTCATGTTTTTCGTTCAAATATAATTGCTGAAAAAACGTAGTATGGGTAACTGCAGGCAGAGCCAAATTTAGCTGGGGCAACAAGAGCACCAACAACTGGGACAATACGACGTGAGTTATGTACCTGTGCATGCTTCACCTTTCGTTTTGTTGGTGAGCAAAAAAAAAAAAAAAAAACGATAGCAAGTCTAAAACAGAGAAAAGCTCGAGGGAGATGAAAAAAAAAGTCAAGATGCACGTTGAACAAAGTGTAAATATAGGCGGGGCTGCTCGAGTGCATGGGGTCCGCGTAATTGTATCGTCAAACGCAGCCAGTGCACTTTTGATTCAGCGGCTGCGGCGGTCGGGCTCTCGAGTGTTGGTTATCACCGAGACAAGGAAATGGAATTTCCACTTGGCTGGAATGGGTTTCTCCTCCTCCTATTTCCCAGCTAACTTGTGCTTTTCTCGAATGGATCTGGCGGTCGAGGGAATGGAGAAGAGAGAGAAAGAGAGAGCCATCTGGCAACCAATTTCAGTTTCCCTGAGAATTTCGATTATTATTAAGGGGCTAATCTGCCAAGGGTCGCGTTATACTTTGTGCTTTGGAGTTATTGCGGATGTAATGATACAGACGCGCTCGAGCATCTGTCGCTTGGGTGGAACGATTCTTGATTTTTTTGGAATATGTCATTTCCTTATAGGAATTTCGAAAACATAATTTTTTTTTTTTTTTTTTTTTACACAACGTTTCAATCATTCCACATTCATTTGTTAATTTATGTATTTATTTATTTGCGTGTTCATCGGACTGATGATATTTTATTGTTTTCATTTTTTAATTTTTTTAACTTTTATCATTCCTTTCTCTTCCAGAAAAAGTCGACGTCGTGGTCGGGCTCTTCGTAAAAGAAGAGACGATCTGGAATTTTCTGAAAATTTAACATCTTCTGATAAATCTAATAACAATTCCTAGGTGGACGTAAGGACCCCCTCATCCTATCCTATTCGTTATTTTATTTTAACATGATTATCAGTTTTTTTTTTTCAATACTTTGTTTTCTTATCATTTAATTTTATTACAAAACCATACGGTAAGGTCAATAAATTTTAATTTTTCATTGCACACAAGAGACAACGCTTTTTCTTTCCTTTTTAATAAAAACGAAGTAAAGCATCGATAAATCAATATGCCATTCTAATACTGAAACTAAATGCAAACGAATTCATTTGTGAGAGTAACGCAGTACAGGGTTACCTTATACGATGCTTAAAAATATCGGAAAACCCAATTTTATTCATCTGTGAGCTACACGATGCGACACATTTTTTAGAGTTACAAGAAAATTTAATTAAAATCTCGTGTGAAAAAAAATCGCGTTTCGGGTAAAACTTTCATCGAAATGAGTTTCAGAGACAATCGAAATGAATTTTAATTAATGTCAAATACCCAGCAGAAGGTCGACTCGTTGTCACCTTCTCGTGGCACTGCACGTGAATCTAAAAAGGGTCTCCTCGTCGTGCTCTTTCCCTCCGCTCTACTTCTCACGCCGCGCGTTGATAGCTTGCTAATTGCTTTGACGACGAGCTTGTTACCCGCCGCTATCGATCTCGAGTTTCAACCTTTTTTTTTTTTTTTTTTTCTTCAGAACATTTCATTAAAAAATAAAATCTCGTTATCTTTGTTCTCGAATAAAAGTATACTTAATCAAAGACTAAAACATATTTATTAAAAAAAAAAAAAATTTTCATCAGTTTTGAAATTAGCATTTAAATGCAATACATATGTTGCAAAAAAAAGCAAGGTATACATCAGTAAGAAATATAATACACTTACAAAGGTTATCAAGACTTTTAATATCAAAGTTAACAAAAAAGAGGAAACGATGACACATGTCGCAAAGGTGAAAGCAAAAAATATCCAATTAATTTATTGCTGGAAAATGAGTCATACCAATTTAGAGACTACAACTTTTTTTCATGTCAAATAAGTACTTCGTAGAGGCAAAAGTTGAGAAATCATTTTCCAAGGTGGCTCATTTCTTAAATCAAAGGCGCGATTGTAGCTGGGGATAATTTTCAATTAGCCAGTAGTTTAAATAGAATACATGAGATATGTTGAAAACATGACCAAAAATGATGTGACGAAAAATTACGATCAAAAACTGTTTTGTATAACTTATAGTATTGTTTATTCGGCAAAGCAGCATATGTAATATCGCACCTCGTGAATTTCAGCCCAATACCACTGGATACATTTTTATATTTGACTGAATATTTTGTTTAATTAAGCCCGTGAATCTGTTTTTTATGATGTCTTGCTACTACCCAGATCTTGAACTCTGCTTTCTGTAAAAGACTATGTGTTGAGAAGTCGACTTTTAACTAGCTGTTTATTGTGATTTTACTCTTCAACAGTACCTAAAATTTCACGTGGTGGTATATATGTCTCAACTTTATTAATTATAAGTTTATTGCGTTTTGAAAGTTATAAAGCTAGAGATGAGACACCTAAAATAAAATGTAAAAATTAAAATTATGATCTTTACATCGATAATTATCTTTTGGTAATAATTATATGAAATGAAAATATTTTAAAATTATGTATGTATATTATTAATATATTAATTCCATTTTCTTTTTTTTTTTTTTCTTGATTTTTACAGATATGGACGTGAATACGCGGATCCTTACCTAAGCCATGGGATCGGTCCAGTTGCAGGTTACGGGGTAAGACTTTAATGATGCCTATGATACGTCCATTATAACCTACATTTTCAAAAGAATCATCAACTAATTAAATCGATAAATTGTTTTAGGCGACGGTATACAGAGGTGGCTACAACAGGTTTACACCTTATTAAAGCGCAGAGATTACATTGAAGAAGCGATGAGCGATTATGATATTAACTGGAAGACGCGTCGTACCTTCGAATAATGCAACTCACAAATAAATCACCGTTCGCTAAACCAAGATTTTCCAGATATAATCGTATGCGACGTTACGGACAAACACGTCACTTTTTTCTCAACCAACCAAATCGATCGTAAATTATTTTTTTTTTTTTGTTTTTTGTTTTTTCTACTTTATGCGAATCCATGACAATTATCACCACAAGAATCACCGAAAAGCTTGACTGTTTTTCTTATGTTGTAGGTTTTATTTTCCTTTAAAAAAAAGTTTACCCGATTCTCGTAAAATATTTGCACATGACGTTTTCTACACTAATCCAGGAGCACTCAGTAACTATAGAGTGATCATACTTTTTTTTTTTCAACTTAAAGAGCAATCTAAATATTTAAGCAAATTTGTGTTGAAATTGGGATGAAATTATGAGCTTGCTGAGATGTAGAGGTCAGGTTTCACAGAGGTCATGTTTCTCTTTTTTCGCAAAGCATTTTAAAACTTGGGCATCTATTGAATTAGACTCGAGCAGAAGTAAAAGGTGTTTTGGTTGGGTATTTTATGTGAGGCTTGAATATGATCGGACATATTGTAAATACAAGTGAACTGTACAATGAAGATGTCCATGGATTCAAAATTTAAAAGGATTTGATCAATGAATGTACCTTGTATTCAATCAAAGTGATTCTTCTGATGAAAACTTTATCAGAACATGATAAATTATAATTATGAATGTCTTGGAAATAAAAAATTTCTTTATTTTGTAAGTAAGTGTGGATTTTTTTACATTCGTCATTGGCTTATGGCATATATAGACAAGAAATTACCATGACAGCTCGGGTTTAACAGGTAATAACCACGTGACTCATAGCGATGCACGTGTATAATATGTGATTGTATATGAAAATGCATACTAAACTAATTCTACTCTATTATAACGTGCATAAGAATCCAAAACAAGGTATGAAACTTGATTTGATCTCTAGACGCGTGGTGGATTCTGCCTCATGTATTTGATAGATTTTCTTCTTCATCAGTCGCGTACACGTACATTTGAAACGTGAACGCATATTAAAAACAAAAAATATAGCCCAAAATTGAAGTAATTGATAATTGCTTGTTGTATGTTACATGACAGACTGCATAATTTTTCATACTTCACAAAATGCACAAGTTGAGGGAAATAATGTTTATGTATGATGAACAGTGGGCAGAACTCATTTGATACTGTTTCAAGCAATTCGCACACGTTCAAGACAAACATTTTTTTAATTTACTAGTTTAGGTTTAAAAAAACAGTTTGAGCTATGAATAACAGTAGTTTTTAATTATAAATTAACTTTCATATAATGCGTAAATGATAGATTCTGCGAGGCAAAAGTATTTTGTCTACAAGACGCATGTGGATGCCATGTAAGACCTAATATTCGCTGTACCATTCAAATATACAATGTAGAATATTTGCGAAGTAAATTTTAAGAATGAATTGTAATTGGTACGCACATAAACTAAGTGGTGATCTGAAATAGTCTAAGTATGTTTAACCAAAAGAGTTGAGATTGGGAAAATTATGATGTATTTTTGAACTGGTTAATTTTTTGTTAATTGTAATTTGCCGAATCTTTTCATGAAGAGAATTGCATAGTAATTAATAATACTGGACATTAAAATTAAATTTGATAGAAAAGTGTTGTCCTAAGTTTATGTAAAACACCTGGGGATAAATACCAAAAATGCTCAACTCTTTCGGTATGTTATTTACAACAGTAATATACGATACACACAAGCTTCGATGTTTTGTCGAAGACAGGTAACAAGTCAGGGAATTTATTAAAGTCGTACGGTATAGCCAAATATGACAAAGATGTTAGAAAGTATGATTAATTATATTTAATAGGTCCGTCGTTATTCTTTAATCTAATTCTATTAGGATAGTATCAAAATGAAATAATACTCTTTTTTTTATGCAAAAAAATAAAAATAAAAATTAGTATGCCAAGAGAACGTTGTTACAGACGTCATGAACTGTAAATAGCATCAAGCACAAATCGTCAAAATATGTGAAAGTAGGAGTGGATGACTGTTTAACATTGCAGATATCGTGTAGTAGTTAAAAGTATGCTCATTTCGTGTTATATCCTATTTAATCCTTGAGTAGTAACTGAACTTCCACTTACTTTGATTAGGAATCAAATAGAAATTCTCTCAATTCCCAAGGTAAAATTCTAATTTGCCTCTTTATGAGACTACAGACTCTATCAGTAAAATAAGAAAAAAAATAAAATAACAAACATTAGATGAGTTTTAAAAGTAAAATCTATAAATGTATTACATCATCTGATGAAGATATACTTAACTGTAGGACTATAACTAATGAACAACTCGAGGATTAAATTGGTTTTTTCCTCAAGGTTGCATTTTTAAACCAGCAAACAGAACGAGGATAAGTACATCTTTTTATTATAGACCAAAGATTACTCAGACATAAATAGTTGTAAAGTTTCATTACTGAAAAAGAAATTTCTTTGGCCATAATTGTGAAGAAAAACTTTTATTTAATTCAAAATCATTAATGTCCTGAAGAAAAATATACCAACAGATGAATGTCACCTACTTTCTTTATACATTTTTTTGTTACAATCGTAAAAATAAAAGTTTTTCAACACAATCGCAGTTGTGTCATATACGTAAGTCTTGCATACTTCTTAGACAGTTTACAAAATAGTAGTAAAAAATGAATACCCTCCTACGGTATACAGCATACTGTAATCACGGTTTATATTACTCAATATTAATACTTTTATGGATATAAACTATTAAGCCTAGAATTAATTTACATCACCATAGATTTGAACGATAAATCGGAGATACTATTTTTTGAATTATTTTATTGTACTTTTGTCACGTGCACAATAATAGTCTATTATTTTCTTGATTTATCTACTCATGCGTCTCTTTTATTCTGGAGAAAATAAAACGATCAAATAAGCGTCTTATAAAACTAATTATTTGTCACAATATTAACATAAGTTACTAACTTTTTGCAACTTGAGTTTACATGAAAAGTTTTTATAAATAATTGTTATAGTTCTAAATTTTCTTCCATCATTTGAGTACTATCATTTATCATTTTATTAATCAACATCATAATGTAATAATATAATATTGATAGAAATATCTATTGATGCATTACGTAATGTAGTCAGTTGAACAAAAATTAAAAAAAGAATACCATGCGGTAATGAAGTTTTTGATAACTAGACGATCATTAAATACTTATGTTAACCATCATTAATACAACTATTAAGTAATACGTCTTGCGATCAACATATCTTAGTGTATGATGCTGATGGAGCGTTACCCAGATATCCTTGGATTTTAATGTAAGGATTAAGTAGTTTTTTTAGAATGTATTTTCAACAACGGTAATTTTCGTGTTTGAGTAATTTTTTGATATTTTATGATTACGAAGTCGTATAAGCTCTCTAACAAATAAAATGTGAAACCATCACATTAGAAATAAAATGGCTTGTGAGTTTGTTGTTTTATGTTTACTCTAAATTATTTAACGATTAATGTAAAATGAAATCCATCGCGTTCAACGTTGTTAAAAAACATTTGATGTTTTTGCTGTGCATGGTATGGGTAACGCTTTGAGAGTGTATTTAAGAAAAAGAAGGATGTTCCATGACATTAAAGTGTTACATCCTGTACTACTTAGAATGGGTGCGTGTGTAAAATAAAGTACAATGTATTTGTGCAGCGATCAGTCAAAAGAAAATTGGTGAGCATAAAATGATGAAAACAGAATTATAAAAAAAAACAGGTTTCAAAATACATATTTACTGTAGACTGTAAAAATGCTACTGTGTTTTCGCTTCTTGCAGTGTATAAAAAAAGTAAAACAATGACTAACTGAGAATGTTTTGTGCAAGGAATAAAACGGAACATTTGTCGAGGATGTCAAAGTTCCGAGCGCTTGGAATCATTGATTGTAAGAAAAAAAATGTAAGCAGTAAAGAGCGAGTTCGCCAATGGCTCTTTACATGCAATGTTTGCGTATCAAATTAATATTATATGTAAATGTAGCATCCCTTCCGTAATAACCACGAAAACAAGAGATTTGATGTAATCGAGATTCGATGTAATCAAAAAAGAATAAACCGTTCTTAGCTTTAGTTGTGTAGCATACCGATGATTATGAAAAAAAATTTGAAAAAGAAAAAACCATGAGGTGTTACCTTGTAAAGAAAACAAGCGAAAACCTCCAATCATTGTCTGATTTGATACTTTGTAATTTTGGACCAGTTATAAGGTTCTTGTAAAACACCCATAGCGAATTCTTATGGCGTATTTTCTCTGTATATTGTCAGTGTTTATTATTAAATATTTTTCAAATACAATACTTATCTTATCATTTGTTGTTTATTATTATATTTTATTACGATAGCTTCACATCAAATACATAGATTTACCTTTACACCTGGTGATTTTATCTGATACTTAACTTATGGATTTATAAAATTTTTTTCAATAAATCATCTTCATTCACGATTGTTAAAAAATGTGTGCTTCCATAAGTCAATAGTAAAAGGTCTAAGGTAATTTAATTTTGTAAATATGGTCGATTTTATGAGCCATATGAGGTGAGTAGAATATTTATGGTTTTGGAGGTCGATTTTCGTATATAATATATTGTAAACTTGCCGCAAATAGCACAGGAAATTTTAAATTTTTATTGTCTATCTATAACATTAGTTGCGGCTGGTTTACAATCTATTATGGCTCTACTGTCAATTATAGCAATAATTATTTGGATCAGCGCCATCTAGCGGTCTTTATTTTTTGGCCAAAAGTGGCCACTAAAATTCTGAAACCGAGTTTTAAGGTCTAGAGCCGTTTGATCAATTACAAACCAGCCGCAACATAATCTATGGTCGTAAAATACAATATTGACATTCTTCGAGCTAGTTGCGGCAAGTTTACAATTTATGTTTTACCAAAAAATTGACATCTTATGTGATTATACTTTTTACTTTTCACTTACTTGTATATTTATGCATTTTTAGGTAAATAACACATAGTAAACTTGCCGCAAACAGAACAAACAATGTTAACTATTTAAATTTACGTCTTGCAATTTTGTTGCGGCTGGTTTATAAATAAATTAATGGCTCTAGGCTTCAAAGATTACTAAAAAATTGGCCTCCTATATATTTATACTTTTGGAGGTAAATGTTCGTATACAAGATATATTATAAACTTGCCGCAAACAGCACAGAAAATGTTAACTTTTTATTATCTTTTTATAAGTTCAGTTGCGGCTGGTTTATAGTTGATAATATGACTCTACTGTAAATAGCAGTAATTATTTGGATCAGCGCCATCTAGCGGTCTTCATTTTTGAGCGAAAAGTGGCCTCTAAAATTCTCAATCAGTGCAATCAGGATTAGAGCCATTTAGTCAATTATAAACCAGCCGCAACTCATGATGAAGCTATAAAATGAAAAAATAACGATACATGTGTTTTTGGCGGCAAGTTAACAATCTATCTTTTACTCGAAAGTTCATCTTCAAAAGTATAAATACACAGGAGGTCAATTTTTTGATAGAAAATATATTGTTAACTTGCCGCCAAAAACACATGTATTGTTATTTTTTCATTTTATAGCTTTATCATGAGTTGCGGCTGGTTTATAATTGACTAAATGGCTCTAATCCTGATTGCTCTGATTGAGAATTTTAGAGGCCACTTTTAGCTCAAAAATGAAGACCGCTAGATGGCGCTGATCCAAATAATTACTGCTATTTACAGTAGAGTCATATTATTAACTATAAACCAGCCGCAACTAATTTTATAGATACACAGTTAGAAGATTGCATTATTTGTACTGTTTGCGGCAAGTGTACAATTCACCTTTTACCCGAATATTGATCTCTAAAAATCATAAATATTCACTTATCTTATATGGCTTATAAAATCGACCACATGAAAAAAAATTACAATACCTTAAGCTTTTTACCATTGACTTATGAAAGCACAGGCAGTAAAGCCCTTTGACTTTATAGTTTTAATCAACAGTGAATTTAAGTATAAGATATGTATTGTGTCACTGAAATCTTGAATAACGTTCAAGCACATACGTAAATTAATCAGTCGAAAAGAGACAACTGAAGAAAAAAGGACTGAAAAAGAAGCACAGTCACACAAAGAGTCTCCTAAGAATGGAGCTTTGAATCTTACTAAATAAAAAATACATTTATAACAGATAAGTAAATTTCAAGTCTTATAAATAAACAAAGAACCCAACATTCTCTGATTATGAGAGATGCAATGCTCCATTCTTAGGAGACTCTTCGTGTGACTGAAACTCTTTATTAAGCCTTTTTTCTTCGGTCGTCTCTTAGACTGATAAATTCACGTATGTGCTTGATCGTTATTCAAGATTTCAGTGACACAATACATATCATATACTTAAGTTAACTGTTGATTAAAACTATAAAGTCAAAGGGCTGTACTGCCTGTGCTTCCATAAGTCAATGGTAAAAGGTCTAAGGTATTGTAAGTTTGTGAATATGGTTGATTTTATAAGCCATATAAAATAAGTAGAATATTTATACTTTTACATGTAGATTTTGGGCTCAAAAATAAATTGTAAACTTGCCGCAGATAGCAGAGAATACGTTAACTTTTTATTGTCTATCTATTAATAAAGTTAGTGGCTCGTCTGTAAGTATAAGAGTATTAGTTATTTGGATCAGCGCCATCTAGCTTTGCGGATTTCTGAACTAAAAAGTGGCCCTAAACTTTTGAAACAGAGCTTTAGCGCGTAGAGCCATTTAGTCAATTATAAACCAGCCGCAATTTATCTGGTAGCTATAAAATGAAGAAATAACGATAAATGTGTTTTTGGCGGCAAGTTAACAATCTATTTTTTACTCGAAAATTTATCTTTAAAAGTATAAATACATAGCAGGTCGATTTTTTGGTAGAAAATAGATTGTTAACTTGCCGCCAAAAACACATGTCTTGTTATTTTTTCATTTTATATCTACACCATGAAATGCGGCTGGTTTACAATTGACTAAATGGCTCTAGTCCTGATTGCTCTGATTGAGAATTTTGGAGGCCACTTTTCGCTCAAAAATTAAGACCGCTAGATGGCGCTGATCCAAATAATTACGTCTATTTACAGTATTACAGTGGAGCCATGTAATCAATTATAAACCAGCCGCAACTGATTTCATAGATAGAAATTGAAATGTTTCAATTGTTTGTGGTTACTGCGGCAAGCTTACAATTTATTTACTATCTATATCTTGGGATCTTGACTCTTGACATCTACAAGAAATCTAGAGAAAACATGCTTACTGGGACCGTACCATGTAACTATTTTTCTGTACATCAGCCTATGTTATAACGTAGGCCCGCGAAGCGAAAAAAAGTTATATGGTACGGTCCCTGGAAATACTTATCTTAATATATAAAGTATACTTGTTATAACAGTGAGTGCAGTCGACACGATCTGACGACGGCGACGACACCTGAACAAAGCCAAAAATCACCGCCTTCGCGGGCCGCGAAGGCTGGGAGGAGTACTGTATGTCGTCTGCGTTTATATATAGGTATAGTTTGCGTATGTATAGTGACGTTTTAACACACTATCCCGTTAAACGAATGCAAAGTGCACCATCATTGCAGTACTTTGTGTCATTTCAGAAGCCGTTTGGATTTGGTTGAGCCCAAAGTGAGTTTTCTGGCCTACTCATATCGTCAATATCATATTCTGTTTATTTTTGAACAAAAAATCAACAGTCTTAGATAAAACTAACTTACTTTTTATTTAAAACAGCAACTTAGTAAATCAGTTGAAATCAAATGCCTTAGAGGTTAGATCGTGACTGACTCACTTGTATCCAAATGATAATTAAAATTACTAACTTGCCTTTGCTATCATTTGACAAAACATATGAACAGAATCTCTTGTTTTATGCAGGTGTCTAACTCAGCACAACCGTCGCAATGGGTGTTCAAGGGAAGAACGTAGAGGCTATGGAGGTCGAGGTTACAAACTCCGAGACGACCAACGCGGAAAACGAAGTTGGAGACAAGAAGGATGTCGATCTTGTTACGATTCATGATCTTCGCGAGCATACGAGACAAATCGAGAAGGCCGTGGCCAGCAAAGAGCCTAGATTCATCCTTAGAGCTCTGAGAGCACTGCCCAACACAAGACGAAAACTTAATCCTATCGTCCTGCGTGGCATCATCGGCGGCTTCTACATGAAGTCTTCGCCCGATAAAGAAGCTCTGCTGGCTTGGGTCGAAGAGCCCATGGATATGGAAGGCACCCAAGCCGCTATTCAGAGGTTTAGAAGCTCTGCCACTCCATTGTTGCCAGAGATTGATGCGTACATTCATTTGTTGATTCTTGTGAGATTGATTGATACCAAAAAGTACGTTGAAGCAGTTCAGTGTTCTGAGGCTCTCATGCAGAAGATTATGGCCCAAAATCGCAGGACTATTGATTTAATTGCTGCCAAGTGTTACTTTTACCACTCAAGAGCTTACGAATTGACAGATCAGTTGGATAAGATTCGTGGCTTTTTGCATCTAAGATTGCGAACAGCTACTTTGCGCAATGATTTCGAGGGACAGGCTGTTTTGATCAATTGCCTATTGAGAAATTATTTACACTACAATCTTTATGATCAGGCTGACAAGTTGGTGCTAAAGTCAACTTTTCCAGAGACTGCTAGTAATAACGAGTGGGCGCGTTTTTTGTATTACCTGGGTAGAATCAAGTCTGCTAGATTAGAATATTCTGCTGCACATAAGCATTTGGTGCAGGCGCTACGCAAAGCACCGCAAACCACTGCTGTTGGGTTTAGGCAAACAGTCCAGAAGCTTGCTGTCACTGTCGAGTTGTTGCTAGGTGATATACCAGAAAGACAAATTTTCCGACAGGCAGCTCTAAGAAAAGCTCTGTCGCCTTATTTTCAGCTCACACAGGCTGTGAGGCTTGGAAATCTGCAACGTTTTGGTGAAGTACTAGAGAACTTTGGACCACAGTTCAGATCAGATCATACTTTTACTTTGATTTTAAGATTAAGACACAATGTCATCAAAACTGCTATACGTTCCATTGGGCTTTCCTACTCTCGTATATCTCCTGCAGATATTGCCAAAAAATTGGGTCTTGATTCTGGAGTAGATGCAGAATTTATCGTGGCCAAGGCTATCAGAGATGGTGTCATTGAAGCCACACTTGATCCAGAAAATGGATACATGAGAAGTAAAGAGACTACAGACATTTACTGCACCAGAGAGCCTCTTCTTGCTTTTCATCAGAGAATAACATTCTGCCTGGATTTACACAACCAGAGTGTCAAAGCAATGAGATACCCGCCCAAATCTTATGGTAAGGATCTTGAATCAGCTGAAGAGCGCAGAGAAAGGGAGCAACAAGACTTGGAACTGGCCAAGGAAATGGCTGAAGAGGATGATGATGGATTTCCTTAAACTGGAAGATACTAAACAACCGTCAAAACTTGATTTCTAAGAAATTTTATTGTTTCATTATATCTATAACTGTTGTACACTAATGGTAATTGAGTATTTTTTGAAGCTCACAAAATAAACTCTTTAATATACATAGAACTTGCATACATTTAATGGTTAATTTTTTTTCTACTTTTAGGATTTTTCTCATTCAAAATAGAAATGTGTACAGAGATGATACTTTATGAATACTTGCTGGCATATATATTACTCAAAAGTTATCTATGAATAACTCGTAAATTTTTAGTCAAAAAGCAAATACTGCCTCATAAATTTTCTACTAAACTAAGATGATTACTTAATCAAAAGTTTCTATCAAAAACTCTTATAGCATATACTTAATCTTTTGTCAATCTTACAATAATGATTGGCACGGAACAATGCTATTTTTTTGTTTTGCTTGATATTGGACATGTTTTCTTTTTTTCATTTCTCTTTTTCTTTTTTTTTTGTAATCGACCTACCTACTCATAATATTCATAGATTCCTAAAACTTGACATATTCTTCAAATTTTCAATTGTGACATTCAAATCTTTTACTTAACTTGTTTCGCGGGTTCACGTTCACCCCGTTCAGAAAGGTGAAGTTAGTACGCTAAAATCTAACTTCAACTTGATACAATGTATATATAAATATATCTGACACGTACATACACGTCGGGTGAGTCAGGTTGGAACGACGAGAGCATGAGAAATTAATCTTTGTCAGGAGAGAAAACCGGCAATCGTAATCGTCACGTTACTTACCAGTTTACATTTACTCCAGAGATAGTACATACATTTTAACATTGCATATTTTACGAGTTGATACTTGAAACGATGAGGCGCGATTTTCGAGTGAAACTGGATTTCTCCAGAGTTTATCAAGATTCTAGAAGAAAAAGTTTGGTATTCGTCGAAGGCGCGAAAATCTTGTACGTCCGACAGTTGGCCGATCATATTCAAAGGCTGTTTGATGTTCCAAGACCTTTTCACCTTCTGGCCCGGTCTGAGGATATTTATTGCTTTTTGCCCTTCGAGGAAGATGTCAGGGTCCTTGAGAACAACGACACGGTTCAGTAAGTATATTTCCCTTTTCGCAGGAGAAATCAATTTTTTCGATTAGCTGTAGGTATTATGTACATGCTATGCTAAGATTCCCGGTATTTTTATTTTTACTTAACCAAAGGCATGCAGTTCGTTAAATAAATAAGGTCGTTATGAATTTCAATTTATCTTATCAGTAATTTTAAACTCAACGGAAAAGCAGTACAAATTTTAATGAGCGCATTTTTTGATAAATCATCCCGTTGATGTTCTTATCATACTTTACGAAATACCAAATTAACGTGTTAGTAATTAAACGTGGTTTTTAATTTTTTTAAGGATAATTCCTGGTACTGGAATCAAAAATAATAGTGGATTTGATGAAACTTCGAAATCCGCTAATCTTCAACCGTTTCAGGAGACTGATTCCAAAGCAAAAAAAGATAAAGATTCTGAAAAATCTTTATTTCATAGCTCTATGGCAACAGGTAATTATAATACAACAGGTGATATCTCACAAATTTTAAATAATATTTTAAGTGAAAGTATCATTGCTTTTTGTACCCCAAATTCATAGATTTGATGGCGAATAATACATTTTATCTAACGGCTCACCCGCAAACTACCCTGAATAAAACTAAAGAATCTAAAGCATTTGAAGACATTATCACAGATAATAATTCTGAGTTTTTGGACAATGGCATTGAGCCTGATACAGCTGCAGTCAGTACAAGTGAACGAAATCATAAAAGGAAGCAAAAGAAGCCAGCTGAAACATTTTTTAATAATGAACTATCTTTTGTACATACCATGAACAGAAAACCAAAAATTATTGATTCTGTCATATTGTCTGGAAAACACATCCGATTCAAAGATGATGGTTCCACATTGGACTGCATCACAGCAAAACAAAATTGTGCTTTGGCGACTCAAAATGGTCAGTTTAATGAAAATGAAAATAATCTAGCTGCACTCTTGAATTTGAGACAAAGTTCAACACCAATGATTTTTGCTCATAAAAAAAACAAGAAAAATGATAGTTTGAAACAAAAGAACGAACTTGATGTAACACCAACAGAAATTGATTCCCAGAATTCAAGCTTATACACGACTAATGTTTCCAATATCGAAGATTTCACGCAACCTAATGTCATTGAAAATAATGATATTTCTTTCAAGGTAAACCTTATTGACTTGATAATTCATTATAAAGCCTATGTATTAGAAGTTTTTGCTTAAATGAAGATTTTTTTTATAGGAATTTAGAATTTCTGGAGACTGCAATCCACTAAATTCTAGTCATCAACAGTGTGAAGACACTGGTTCCAAAGAAAGAGAAAATAAAGATTACGAGAAATCCTTATTGGATAGTTCTATGGTAACGGATGGTAATAATACACCAGGTGATCTCCCATACATTTCAAGTAAAAATATTTTGAGTTAAAGTATCATTGCTTATTGCACCTTTAAATTCATAGATTTGACGTCGGCGAACAATACATTTTATGTAACGGCTTACCCGCAAACAAGCCTAAATGAAAGTAAAGAATCTAAAGCATTTGAAGACATTATCACAGATAATAATTCTGAGTTTTTGGACAATGGCATTGAGCCTGATACAGTTGTAGTCAGTAAAAGAAAGCGCACCCGTAAAAGGAAGGAAAAAAAGTCAGCTGAGACATTGTGTAATAGTGAACTGTCTTTTGTAAATACTATGAACAGAAAACCAAAAATTATTGATTCTGTCATGTTGTCTGGAAAACACATCCGATTCGAAGATGATGGTTCCACCTTGGATTGCATCACAGCAAAACAAAATTGTGCTTTGGCGACTCAAAATGGTCAGTCAAATGAAAACGAAAATAGTTCTAGCTTGGCTGCACTCTTGAATTTGAGACAAAGTTCAACACCAATGATTTTTGCTCATAAAAAAAACAAGAAAAATGATAGTTTAGAACAAAGGAACGAACTTGACGTCATATCAAAAGAAAATGAATCACAAAATTCAAGCTTAGACTTATCTAATGTTTCCAACATTAAAGAGTGTACGCAATCTAATGTGATTGAAAATGATGATACTGTTTCTTTTAAGGTAAACCTGCTCTAACTTGATAATTCTCAGTAATAAAGGGGTTTTCATTTAATTTTGGAATTTTTTATAGGTATTAAAAATTTCTAAAGACTACAACTCACAAACCTCTAGTCATCCACAGTTTGAAGAGACTGGTTCCAAAGAAAAAAAAGAAAAAGATTACAAGAAATCCTCATTTAATAGTTCTATGGCAACGCATGGTAATAATACAACAGGTGATCTCTCATACATTTTAAGTCGAAATATTTTGAGTTAAAGTATCATTGCTTATTTTACCTTGAAATTCATAGATTTAACTTTGGCAGCTAACATATTTTATAAAACGGCTTACCCAGAAACAAGCCTAAATGAAACTAAACAATCCATAGAATTCGAAGACATTATCACAGCTAATAACTCTAACTTTTTTGACAATGAGATCGAGCCTAATACAGCGGCAACCAGTAAAAGAAAGCGCACCCGTAAAAGAAAGCAAAACAAGTCAGCTGAAACATTTTCTGAAGGTGAACCATCTTTTGTAGATACTTTGAACAAAAAATCGAAAATTATTGATCCTATTACATCATCTGGAAAACACATCCGACTCGAAGATGATGGTTCCACCTGGGATAGCATCACAGCAAAACAAAATTGTGTTTTGGCGACTCAAAATGGTCAGTCAAATGAAAACGAAAATAGTTCTAGCTTGGCTGCACTCCTAAACTTGAGACAAAGTTCAACACCTATAACCTTTGTTTGTAAAAAAAATAAGACAATTGATAATTTAGAACAAAGGAACGACCTTGACGTTATATCAAAAGAAAATGAATCTCAAAGTATCATTCAAAATAATGATACTGTTTCTTTTAAGGTAAACCTGTTCTCACTTGATAATTCTTTGTAACACCTATGTGTAAGTAGTTTTCATTTAACTATGAATTTTTTTATAGATACTTAAAATGACTGAAGATTATAATCCACAAATTTCCAGTAAAATAGTAGCAAAGCTGTTACAAAAAAGAGTAGACGGTTCTTACACCTTTAAAATTATTGGTAAGCAAACATGTTTAAAAACATTTCGTCATGTGAAAGTGACAATAGTACCATAATATATTATCTTTTATAGATGGCAAAGATCAGTTAAAAGAACCAGAAGGCAAGTTTTCTCTTCCAAATGATGATGAAGAAAGTCACAATGAAGAGGCCAACGATGTGTTCACCATTGACGAATCACGTATTTTTGAGTTGAGTAAAGTTAAGTTGGTTCCTGCATAAGTTAAGCGTGTTACATTTAATTTAATTTTATTACGTTAACTGATCAATGTAACGTACTTATTAGCATATTTAATAAGCGTGAGCGTGACTTCGAAAATTTTATTATGTAATTTGTAAAAAATATATTTTTTATAGATCTATTGTTTTATTTTGTTAATTATTGTAAACTATTAATATAAAATCTTGTACTGTAAATCTTTTATACTGCAAATATTATATAATTTATCCAAATCAATCAACAATTATATTGAAGCTCTAATCAAAAGGACACTGTCTAAATTTTCTTTACAATTCAAAGAGTGAAGATTTTCTTTAAATACCCAGTTTGTCATATCCTGTAAATTATCACAGTTAGTTATTTTGTTTATGCACGACTTTGTGAGGCTATTATGGTTGGTATACCTTCCAACGTCAGATTTGGAAATTTGTTTTCGAAATTTGCGAAACAATTACAGCTGTTTTCAAACCATTTTGATATCTACATCGTACGTCGTGTAAACGACTGGTGATCATCGAGCCACGCCAGTAATTTGTTGCTATCTATAAAATCTTTTTCATAACATCCAGCATTTGAATCTGGGCACAGTTGATAAAAATTGGTTAGTGCAACGTAAAATAATGTCAATGAGCACGATAAATAATCTATATTGGCGAAAAATCGGATGATTTTGCAATTTATTGCTGTTTGAATTTCATTAATAATTATTTACTATCAGTTTTACACAATGGAGTAAAATCCATATTGTTAAGTAAGTGAAAAACTATAATTAGTAGTCATCTAAATAAATAAATAAGGACGTTAAGATACGATAAACGTGATCTTGATCGGTGAAGAGAAGAAAAGTTTTCACTGATAAACCAAAAAAAAAAAATACCCTAACTTGAGGCTATGCCCAATCAGTAGGGAATCATGAAAAACGAAAAAAAAACTTGTCATTTTTTTTTAACCTTTAAGTATTTACTTTTGGTTGAGCTTGGAAAAATCATGAGCGCTGTGCGAAAGCTATCAAAAGCTACTCTCACTCTTGTGGCATCTTACGAACAATAGTATCTGTTTCATTTTTAATTTTGAAATTTTTTGTGAGGTCGGAAAAAAGGAAAGGACCCAATTTTTTCAGTATTTACTTTTGTAATCTACGCGTGAAATATTATTACGCACAATATATAAGAACCCCTTGCATTTTAATTTACACATACAACTATGTAAGTACACCTGCAGTATACTTATATATACAAATACTGCACCGCAATGAGCAATCAAACGTGTATAGAATAAGTATATAAACAAATAAAACGAACTTTGAAAATTTGTAGTTGCACGTTATGTCATCTTTAAGAAGATGAACTCAAAAAGTGAACTTCAATTGAGTAAAGCCCTTGCTTTGTTAGTACCTACCTAGTACTAGATATTTTTACACATGCAGATACTGTTACTGTACAGAAAGAATATTACTCGTATGCATAAAAAATTATTCCTTTCAGTCAATCATCATTCTAATTCACAATCGATACAACTGGGTAAAAATTCCAAAGGAGGTTAATATGTATGTATATATATATATATCATTTATAATTAACTTTCGTAAAATGTATTAGAACAAATCTAGAATATTTCATGGCTTCTTTACCACAAAATAGATCAGTGGAAGTTTCAACTGGTAGTTACTTGTGTTTTCAACATATCGTAAATTATAATTTATTATATTTATTTTTTTTTAAAGCTTTATTTTTTACAATAAATATTTTCAGGATGACGTTATATGCTTCCTTGTCATAATGAAGCACAGTACGTAATTTAGCCGAAGGCTATCACAATGCAGTAAGTTGAATATTTTTTAATTAGTTATTTTTCATTGAAAGGTAATAATGCGGCAATGTTGCCTCTAGATTGTTGGTGGCAGGTTTTCAAGGAAACCCGAAAATTCCA